GGAGCGCTGCGCGGGGACACAGCGGCGTCGCCACCGGGCACCGGCGCCGCGCAGCGCCCATCGCCGCCCAGCCCTCGGCGCCCGCATCACGGCAGGAGCGGGGGGCTCCTGCCAGGGCGCCGCRGTGCAGGGGGCTGGGTGCCCCCCACCCCGGCCCCCCAAGGCTGCCCCGGGCCCTGCACAAGCCCCGGGTCCCGGCCAAGCCCTTCAGCGTGGCCTGGCCGCGTCCCCCGCGCTGGGCGGCTACGTGGCTTTTCCTCCAGGGCTTTGCCGGGTTATTGAAATCAATTCCAATTCAGTTTTCGCTAAACCTCTGTAATTTTCCAGCCCAGACAAGGGCTTAGCTGCTCCAGCCCCGGCTCGATGTCTCCCCGTGCCAGCCTTCCSCTTTTGGCCATGGCCCAGCTCTTCCCACCTGCCTCCCCAGAGCCTCTCGTGGAAACCAGGGCAGGGAAAGGGGGTGCACGGGGTCATGATGAGCCACAGGGATCCCCCAATTTAGCTCTCAGTGCCCTCTCTGCTGCTTTCAAAACCATGCAGGCATCAGCCCTGAAACCTGGGTGGGCAGGGTCTCCCCGGGGTCTGTGCAGCACCTGCGGGATCCCCTCGCCACGAGGACCCCCATGGTGACATCCCCTCACCGCAGGGACCCCCATGGTGACATCCCGTGGTCACCCATGGGTGGTCACCCATTCACGGGGCCATGCACGGGGGGCAGGAGCGCCCGCTGCCGTGGGCCCCGCGCTCACCCGTGGGGTCCGGCGCCCTGGCGGGAGGCGGCCGGAGCGGGGCGGCCACACTGGGCCCCGGCGTCCGGGCGTCGCGGGACGGGGAGGCGCTGGCGCCCCGGGGAGCCCCGGCCGGGGGGTCGCTCTGCAAGGCCAAGGCACAGCCATAGCGGGGGGCTATGGGGCACCAGCCGGGCCCCCCGCCCATCCCTCGCCCCCCAACCCCACGTCCCCCATGGATCCAGTGTCCCCAGCCCACCCAGGTGTCCTGTGCATCCTGCAGCCCCGCGTGCCCCCCGCAGCTCCCCCGTGTCCGGCTCTTTTCTCTCCTCTCCTATTTCTTCCCTTTTTTTCCCCCTGCCTGGGGATTTTGTCGACACCAGCAAAGGAGGAAAAAAAATAAATGAGCGGGAGCGCGGAGCGGCACGCTGTGCGGGCAGATTGCTGCGGCGCTTTGTCCGCTCTAATCCGATTGCGCCGCTGCTCCCGCGGCCGCAGGAGCTGCTGACCCCGGGGGCGGCGCGGGACGCGGCGGGGGCGCCCGCCCGCCCCCTCCCCACGCGCTGACCTTTCAATCCGGGCTGGCACAGGCGGGAGGAAGGGGAAAGGGAGAGGAAGGGGAGCGGGAAAGGGAGAGGAAGGAGAATGGAAAAGGGAGAGCAGGAAAGGGCGAGGAAGGAGAGCCGGAAAGGGCGAGGAAGGAGAGCGGGAAAGGGCGAGCAAGGAGAGTGGGAAAGGGAGAGGAAGGAGAGTGGAAAAGGGAGAGGAAGGAGAGCAGAAAAGGGAGAGGAAGGAGAGTGGAAAAGGGAGAGGAAGGAGAGTGGAAAAGGCAGAGGAAGGAGAGCGGGAAAGGGAGAGGAAGGAGAATGGAAAAGGGAGAGGAAGGAGAGCGGAAAAGGGAGAGGAAGGAGAGTGGAAAAGGGAGAGGAAGGAGAAGGGAGGGGGTGGCACTGGGAGCTACTCAGGATCCTGCGGGTGTCCGGGTGGGAAGCACCTGCCCAAGGGAGCTGCCCCACGCGCTCCRGGTGCCGGGAAGCACCCACGGKKSCC